TTACGGTCCCGACGAGTCTCGAAATGGCATGGTCTTCAGGGTCTGCCGAGGTTTTTACTGACACTAGAGCCTGAAGTCCCCACTGTGGGCCTGACAAGCTGCTGTCTCCCAGCCCAGGCTTCTACCTTCCAGTCTCATTGCCCAGCCTCTGGCCTTCATGGCCGGACCTCCAGCTGCCCCTCCTGCTCTGAGCAGAGAGCCAAGCATCTGACTTAGACCTTGATCTTGTAACTTCTCTTGCCTGGCCCTCTCTTCCCCTTAGCACAGTTCGGTTTCCTCGACTGATTATGTTCAGCAGAACTTCAGCACAGCTCTCGAGAAAGGTTTGTTAAATGAATGGATGAGGCCCATTAAAAAAACAAAATTCCAGTTCATTGACAGTGAAGAGTACAGAGAGCTGTTAGCCATCCGTTTGTCCTGAATAATTAACCAGAACACACAGTCCCCTTTCGGTTTCCCTGACTACTCTTAGCCACCAGGTCACCAAACAGAACCTCTCGTAAGGGGCTGGGCTGTAGTCAAGCTGGGGCTGCTTAGCAATTTGGCTCTTGTGCCTGCGGCTCCGTCTAACAACCCTGCTACCGCAAACGGCTAACACGCTTCACGGCAGAAAAGAAGCCGTGAAATTGCCTGAATTGAGAAGCTGACAGGAGAGCAAAAGGGGCCTGTCAAAACCCAACTTAGCTAAAAGACAAAAAGGCAATTCTGTCTAGCCACAGCAGCGTGCTCCTGAGGCTGGGAAGAGGGAGAAGGATGGGTCCCCCACTTCTCTTCCCCCCCTAAACCTTCTTGGGCTTTTACTGTCTTCCTGCATCCACTGACAGAGGGGCGAGTGAAATTGCTGTTTTCTGGGAAAGACATTGCTGACAAATTAGGGGTGGTCAAACCAGCAACAGCATCTCCAAGAAGCACAAACACCCTATTGCTCTCTGTGGAAGTGGAGAGTCAAGGTCAGCTGTTTTGATATTTGGGAATTCACTCATGTGTTCCCAGCAGGTGCTGGTCTCTTGTCTTTGTTCCTTGGTTAATTCAGAACCGTCTCCACCCCCCAACCACCCCCCCCCCCACCACCAACAACACCTCCTATAGGAAGTTCTGCACTCTGCAGGGTCATTCAGGACTTGGGTTCATTCCCTTGTTGTTAGTCCTTCTGGGTCAATGATAACATAAGTGACTATGAAGAAATCAAGACCCTCTTTTTGTGGGGTACATCTAAGCTTTGTTGTTGTTAATGGGGTGTCTTAACAAACACATGGCAGAACCGCTTAAGTCCATTTATGGCCAGAATCCTGATGAAGAAATTGGGGCTTACTGAAAACAGAAATGGCCAGCCTCTTCTCCATCATGAAGAGAAAAGAAAGTGTGTCTCTACATTTTAAATGCCAACCAACAACTGGTTTTGAAATTGTTATTTAGATGTAGTTGTGGAGGAGACCCTAGGAAGCAGATGGCTCACTCTTCATGAGAGAAATTTTTCACCCCTTAGGAAAGACTCAGGTAGCCCTGAGAAATTCTGAGGATGAAACCTGCACGCTGCGTTTCCTAAGATTCTGTGCAAGCGGGTGGTGGGTTTTAAATAGCTGGAGCGTCCAATTCGCAAGGCCCCTCAGGGGTTAGGTAATTGCCTGGCAGCTTCTGCGAGTTCTCCTGGCAATGGGCTCAGGAGATTTACTCCTTGAAGAATGCAAGGCGAAGTGATTTCCCAATATTTGCAAATTGGCAAGCTGTGACGTTTTTGAAAAAGCAGATGGAGTTTAGGGAGAGCCCAGAGCTGGTGGCCGAATCTCCGCACAGTGGATGCTTGGCGAGTCAATTCTCTATCCAGGCAGTAGATGGCGCTAGCTGCCTTCCCGGGCAGAGCTGCAGCCTCCTTCCCCATCTTCAGGGCTGGCCCTGGAGACTTGACCTAAGAAAAGCCAGAATTGCTTCCTTTGCTTAGGAAGCACGACTGGGGGCGTGTGTACAGGGATCTGTGGTGTGTTCACATCTTGCTGGCAGCACGTAGGCTGGTCATAGGTTAAGACCCAGTGGTCCGCGGAGCCCAATGGCTTCTTGTGAGGAAAGGTTGTTTCTAACAGGGAAATATCTCAGCAGCCAAGGGCACCCGCCCCACCCCACCCCACCAGAGATGCGACGCTTCAGATTGAGCGAATATCTGCCGTTTTTCTCTTCCTAATAGTTGGGAGGCTCGGAGCAACCAGGGTTCTAAGCTTGGGGTCTGTCGGCACAGGATGGCAGAGGCAGGGAGAGCTAGCTGTATGGGAAGCTCAGCAGGACACTGCTCTCCTCACCCCTGTGTGCTGTGAATGCTGTGTCAGAAGCCAGGACTCATCCCCAGAGCCCAGCAATGTCTTATAAAGAAAGCAACAGAAGGAATCGCCCCTGTGGAATCTGAAGTTCCCATAGTTGTTGTGTGTCATTATCTAGCATTCCTAGTCCATCTCAGGTCTCTGTCCACACACTCTTAAAATTCCTGTACTTAACACGACAGGTAACCGTGAATTCACATTATCCATAGGAGAAAAATGATAAACGTAAGTTATGTGTGCATTTGAATAGGAATGTATAATATTGACTGGGTGTTGGTGGCGCACGCCTTTAATCCCAGCACTCGGAGCAGAGACAGGCGGATCTCAGTGAGCTTGAGACCAGCCTGGTCTTCAGAAGGAGTGACAGGATAGGCTCCAAAGCTACACAGAGAAACCCTGTCTCAAAAAACAAAACAAAAGAATGTATAATATCTGTACTATTAATTAGGCAAAATTAGACAAAGAGGTCTGTTTGCATATGATTGGGGACAGGGTAGGGCCTCTATCCTAGGTTCTGGTTTCAGGTAATTTTCCCACAATCAGTATGAATAATGTGTGCATGTATAATTTATACATATATTGTTTACTCAGTCAAGGTCTATCAAGAAAGCCAGAGCCATTGTAGGGTTTTCTTTTCTCCTTCCTTCCTTCCCTCCCTCCCTCCTTCCTTCCTTCCTGTCCTCCCTCCCTCCCTCCTTCCTTCCTTCCCTCCCTCCCTCCTTCCTTCCTTCCTGTCCTCCCTCCCTCCCTCCTTCCTTCCTTCTTTCCCTCCCTCCCTCCTTCCTTCCTTCCCTCCCTCCCTCCCTCCTTCCTTCCTTCCCTCCCTCTTTCCTTCCTTCCCTCCCTCCCTCCTTCCTTCCTTCTTTCCCTCCCTCCCTCCTTCCTTCCTTCCTTCCTTCCATCCATCCCTCCTTCCTTCCCTCCCTCCCTCCCTCCTTCCTTCCTTCCTTCCCTCTCTTCCTCCTTCCTTCCGTCCTTCCCTCCCTCCCTCCTTCCTTCCCTCCTTCCTTTCTTCTTTCCTTCCTCCTTCCCTACCCTTTCTCTCCCTCTTTCCCTCCCTCCCTCTCTCTTTCTTTTTTCAGACAGATTCTCTAAATGTAGCCTTGGCCGGCCTGGAATATGATCAGGTTGACCTCGAACTCACAGAGATCCACCTGCTTCTGCCTCCCGAGATTAAAGGCGTGCACCACGACATGCCACCAGCGCAGGTCTTTGAAATACAGGGAATTGGTTATACAAAGTGGGTGAGCTGGGATGCTAAGGAAGGCAGATGAAAGCACCCAGAAATATGGAACGCAGGAAGCCACCCCGGTCCCCAAGTTTGGGAATAATAGGAAGGATGGCACTGTTAAAGCTTACCAGGTAAGGCAGTGGCTCTCAGCCTTCCTAACCCTTTCATACAGTTCCTCCTGCTGGGGTGACCCCCAACCATAACACTAACTGTAGTTTTGCTGCTGTTATGAACTGTAAATATCTGATATGCAGGTTATCTGATATTTGACCCCAGGGGGTAATGACCCACAGATTGAGAAACACTGAAGTGAGATTTATGGCTGGCGCTGTAAGGTGAGGACTGCCTGCAGGGTCTGAGGTCTTGGCAGGATTTGATGGTGTGTGAGATACCGCTGCAATGGAGGGAGAGAGCTAGAGAGAGAGCGTTGTTGTTCACTTCTTCCTACCCGCTAGCCTTTTACAAAGCTCCCATTGCCTAAAGCAACCAGGAAGCCAGGTATAAGAGAACTGTGAGTGGAGTTCTGAGGGACACAAGCAGGGGAAGGGCAGAGATGGGTGGAGTGAGCCCACAGTAGACAGGAAGAATGGTGGCACGTGAAAGATCCTGCTGCTATCTAGGTATTTGGATATGTGCTGTGCATCTTCTTGTGTATGTGTGCATGCGTGCGTGCATGTGTGTGTGCCTGTGTGTACATGTGTACTCAGTATAATGTTGAGGTGAAGAATGTGAACCAGCTGTGTAACATGTGCAGACAACTGGACTTCTCTGCACATCAGGGTTAATAATGAGTATCTTGGCGATTTACGAGGTCTGAGTGAGGTAAGCTATGTCTAGAACTTGGAGTGGTGCCTGGTACAAAGTAGCTCGAGCTCTGGACCAGGTTCTTTAAATCTGTCTAGACTGTCGGTGTATGTGGGTCTAGTCTGTTTTCTAACTGCCTCCAGGTTCCTGCCCTGTTTGAGTTCCTACTCATGACTCCCTAGATGTTGAAGCATAAGCCAAATAAACCGTTTCCTCCTCAATTTGCTTTGGGTCGTGGTGTTTCATCACAGCAATGGTAACCCTGGCTAGGACATCCACTGTCATTCGGATGGCTGAGTGGCAGTCATGTCGAGTTCGGGCAACACTATTTAAAAACAGTGTGTGAGAGTTGACTGACATCCAGGATGGTATCAGTATTTTCACTTTACCATGCTCGATGTAGCGTGTGTGTGTGTGTGTGTGTGTGTGTGTGTGTGTGTGTGTGTGTGTGTGTGTGTGCGCTTCAAGGTCAGGGAAGGATGTCAGGTGCCTACACTAACTCTCTTATTTCTTTCGCTGGACCTGGAGCTAGGCTGGCAGCCAGCAAGCTACAGAAATCCTTCTTCCTTGGGGTTAGGAGTGCGCATGTCCAGCTTGTTACCTGGGTACTGGGATTCGAACTCTGATCCTTGTGCTTGTGCAGCATGAGACATATCTCCATCCCCTGAACTTGACTTTAGCTCTTTGTAAATGAAGACTGTCTGGCTCTACACAGACGTTCTAGAGCCCAGAGTTCACATGTCATAATAGGGCTGCTGATGGGCTCCTGGTCTCCATACATCCCTGTGAGCTAGATATTTTCATCAGCGTAGAAAATCAAGGTTTAGAAGAATGGCTGAGACAAGAATTGAGTACAGGCCTGAGCTGAGCCTTTCCACCACCCCTCACCAACAGCATGGAGTACAATTTGCTTTTCACTGTGGCCAGGATTATGGGTGTGGCCAGATCTGATGTGTGAGTAAGGATATCCATTATAGATGGCCCAATAGCCACAGCATGACCCCAGAGGGTCAGAGCCAGGAGTGTGTGCCAGGTGATTACAGATCTGGGGCAGGCAATGCCAGGCATCCTTGTCATAGGGCACGGTTGGCCAGTGGGAGAGCAGTCACGGAGGGCTGTGGTCCTGGAGGGAGAACGCAGCTCCTCAGTTCCACGGGTTAGCCCCTACCCTGTGGAGTCCCTGTAAATGACTGCACTTTGTAATCAAAAGCCCAGCCAGTGTAGAGTGGGCTCATTTGGACAATTGCTATGTATTTGCAAGGATGAATGTGGACCATTTGTCTATGCCTTGTTGTCTCAGCAGGTCTGGAGCCAATGCTAATGAGAACAGATCCATTTTCCTACAGCATCATTTCTACATGTTACACCTGGCCTGAAAACCCTCCGTGACAGCCCATTACCTACAGGGACAAGGCCGAGTGCCATGCTGGAATGGCACCATGTCTCCAGAGCTGGATTCAGCCTGTCCTTCCAGCTCTATCTCCCTCTGACTCCCACAATGCTGTGCTCCGGCTTCTGTGTGCAGATCCCAGTCCTCTACCCTAGACCTGCCTCCAAGTCTCCTAGCTCAGTACTTATGCCTGTGCCATTGCCTCCTCCTCCCCCACACACAGGTGACGACAATGCTGTACTCGGTTCAGGGAACCCTCTGTGGTTTTTTCTACTATCCCACTAAGGAAACAAACAGAGCTAAGCCTTCTGCTGAGCACTTACATGTAAAATCATTTACTTGTTTAATATTTATTTGAGTGCCTACTACATATTGGGTAGGCAGTGGGTTTCAAATAAGAAATAAATCTGACTGTACAGTGTGCATCACTTTCCTGAGGCACCACAATGGCCTCAGGAACATGCATTTATTTTGTGGTACTTCCAGAGGCCAGAAATGTGAAATCCAGGCACTGGCAGAGTCTGTTCCTTCTGGAAGTTCAGAGGAAGATTCTCTTTTGTGCCCCCATTGGCATCCGGTGTCTGACCACCACTGTGGCATTCTCTGGCTCGTGGATACATCACTCTAGTTTCTACTCGCTTCCTCACACTGTATTTTCTCTGTGCTTTTCTGTCTCTCTTGTCTCTTAAGCATACTCATTTTTCAGATTTAGGGTTCTTCCTACATCCGCATGATCTCATCTCAAGATCCTCGTCTTAATTACATCTGCAAAGACCCTTTACCAAAGGTCAAGTTATTCACAGGTTCCCGGGGGAGTGCCATGTATATCAGGAAGCCACCACTCACAATATTCTAAGTAAGAGGGGATTTATTTCCACTACAAGAAAAGCCTGGAGGTTGGTAGCTACCAGCCTTAGTTTATTCCCTAACCTCTCTGTGACACTGTTATCCTTTCCCTCATCTTGGCACAGTTCCCTCAGCTCAGTTTATCTGCCGTGAGGGGTTTGTATGTGGCAGCATCAGTCACATTTATCCCTGTTGTCACCAAAGCACAAGCTTTCTTAGATCCCGCACAGCCCTTATCTCCTTGGGAAGAAAGGCTTGGGTTTCCCCACCTGTGAGGTGAACGTGGGTGAGGCAGCAGTTGACAGTGTTTGCCGAGGGTAGGAGATACATGGTGACTAATGTGGAATCCCTGTCCTCAGAGAGCTAAGGGTTATTGTCTCCATCCTCAGGATGACCTTAGATTTGTTTGGGGCTGCAAGAAACAGATTCAGAGATGGCGAACTTCGTATGCATTGTCCCCTGCAATGCAAGGCTCTTGCCACAGGTCTACCGTTGGTAATCAGAACACTAGAGTCTCTGACTCAGCTGCAAAGTCATCTTGCCCACGGGACACACTGTCCAATCCTTACACACCTGATCACTTTTGCCTAACGGGAAAAAATTTGGAGGTTCACCAAAGCACTTAGCTCCCTGGACCCCCCAATCTTAGATACACCTCTGTGGCTTCCCAGCAGCCTCCACTTTGCCTCAGGGGAGGTAGAGGTCCAGGGAGACATCTGTGCTAGATGGAGTTGAGCATGTGTCATACATAGTTCAACAGGATAAACTACCAGGGATGGTCACCCACGCCACACACTGGAAGGAAGGGAGCAGGCAAGGATAAGCAGAGAGAGGGGCCCAGGGAGGACGGTCAGGAGAATTTGCAGACAGCATGAGGACATGGAGGTAGGTAGGGAACACTGTAGCTCACATCGTCTCGTTGGCTTCCCTTGTGGTGAACCTGTCCTTGAAGGCACCTTCCACAGACCCCACAGCCACCTCTGCCTGAGACCGCCTGGTCTTCCAGAGGCCAGATCTCTATCCCCTCCACTGCTTGCCTGTCTCTAAAGCTTCCTCTACTTGACTTATTGGAACACTTACTTTATGGCGTGAACTGAAAATGAAGTCATTTAAGATCTTTCAGCTGTGTGATACACAAGCCATTTCTTCATTGTTGTCATGGAGTACCACATGACAGATTTGGACTTTAAAGGAAATCTGGAGCCACGGAAAGGTGTCGAAGGATGCTCCTGCCAGCATCATTTTATCTTTTAAGGGAGGAGTGGCTATGCTGACACTGACCACAGGCACACGTGTGCCCATAATCACCTTCTAGAGGCCACATTTTGGTACGGCTGGCACTGTGTTCTATGATGTATATAGGTAGGTTTCGTTTCTGTTTTTAGAGTGAGGACATCCCGTCTGTCCTGACATCAAGCTCAGTGCAGGAGGAAATACTGTTGGCCAACCTACAGGACTTGACTTTTGTGGAGCTTTTCTTTGTAACAGCCAACAGCCATTGTCTACCTTACTTTGTTAACAAGCTCCCTCGTGTTTAGGAACTGCTCCTCTTCCACAATGTGTGACTGACCATAAAACTCAGTCATATTTTCAGGGTACAGGTACCTGGGCTGTAGTAAGAGACTCATGGATTGGGAAGGCAATTCTAAGACCAGCCAGATATCTGGGTACCGAGCATCCTCTTTTCCAACAGAGGATGACATGAACATGAACTTGCCCATGGTCCTGCTCATCCTTCTTCTCCATCACACTTTCCAACATCCCAAGCAAAGCATAGCACAGGTTTGGTTGATCTGGGGAGACTACCTGAGAGAGGCTTTCTAAGGTTCAATATCTGTTCATGCCCAAGATCAACCCATGCTAGGAACTCCAAATTTCTAGACTCAGTAAACGTGCTTTTGCTTGCTTTGGCTTGACTTGTGTTTCTGTGGCTTGCAACCAGAATTCCACCTAAGACCAGCTTCATCCAGATACTTTACCATCTATTGCTTGCTTTGTCATTGCCATTATTGTTTGGTTTTCTCTCTTGTAATTGTAACAGTTGGTAATAAACCAGTGATGTATGTAAAAGGATCTAACTATAGAGATACTGGTTACAGAGTTACAAATAATACTAAATTTGTAAAAACACATAGCATGTGTGATAACCTGGTGCCTAGCCATATGAAGTCCTGAGCATAATGCTCACAGAGGGCTTTGGCTCTACATGGCGTTCTCATGTCTTATCTAGGGCCAGTCCTAGATAGGGACTATTGACAGGGTCATACATCAACTCAATGACAGGCCTGCTTGTAGTTTGCCGCCTGGCTTTACTCTTGAGACCCTAGTCTATGGGAGGCTCTGGGGCGGGGGAGGATTGCTTCCCTGTCTGAAGCTGTCTTTTGGGTGGGCTTCTAGAATTCTGAGCTGCGTCTCCTCTCCAAAAGAAGCAGAGAGGGGAAATCGCCCCTATATGGGCTGTTAGATCGTGCTTCTCTCTTTATGTTCAACAAACTCCTCCATGTCCAGTCTTGTGCTAATTGATCCCATGGTCCAGATCTGGTAGGACTTGCTCCCTCTGACACAAAAGAGTGACCTATAAGGAGTTCGGTGATTTCACCCCCAAATATAGCACCCTGGTATGTTGACAACCTTATGTAAAAGCCCTGTGTAGTCCAACAGATGCTGGAGGAGGATCTATAGGCCCTGATCTCTCTGAAGACCAGAAGAAAATAAGTGGCTTCCATCCTCCCCCTGGGGTTTTACAAGCTCAGTTCTATGACAGGAAGGAAGAGTGGGTAGTGGATCCACCCCGGACAGACTTTATCACAAGTTACTGTTCATCTCCAGGGTCCATTCATTCTTCCAAAGAAAATCATTTATGAACTATTCTGTCCTCTTGGCCCATTCATTCTCCATAATAATCATTTACTACCCTTCAAAAAGAATGGCCTACATCCTCCCCACGCCCTCCCTGTGGTCTGAAGACAGATCTGTGACTATCAGAACCTCTCCGGCTAAGTAGGTAATCATACTCCGGTGACTTCCCCCTGTACACATTAAATCCATCTGTATGCTGTTTTCTCCTATCAATCTGCCTGTTGTCAGCTCATTCCACCAAACCTTCAGAGGATGAAGATATTTTCCCTTTGTCTCATGATGATGAATTAGGGGCTTTCAAGGAGATTGATGCCTGAGACTTGCGGAGAAAGATGCTGTGTTTGGCAGTGTGGCTTCCAAGCTGAAGCTCATGGGATAAACCTATAAGGAAGCATGGGGATGACCGAGTTCTACCATGTGGACACAGCCACTGGGGATGCTATTTCCAGAGAAGGAGGTCGGAGCAGGTGTAGGGTGATCAAGGAGGAGACAGAGTGTCTGCAGTCTCTCTTCTTCTTGGCCCCAGTCACTTTTTGGGGGGATTGTTCTTTGCCTTAATTTGTACATCAGGGGATACCCTGAAGTCTGCACAATCTCTCTCAGTCTTCACAGAACTTTCACCCTAGTTGATCTTTGCCTCCTGTAACCCAAAGGGTCCTTTCTGATTTGCAAGCTTCTAGCCTTTCTTCATCAGGTGTCTGACAAAGCCATTCGCTTCCGCTTAAACACATAAAGCAACTGCCCCTTAGCAAACCCACACATGTGCCAAATCCTGAGACATCAGCCCCAAGCCAGTACCAGACACTAGTCAAAGCAAACAACAATTCCGACAGCAGCTTAGAACTTGCAACTTCCACCTGAAGTCTAAATACCGTGAATAACTGTGAGCATTAACTTCGCCAAGGAAATGCCAGTATTCTGATGGTGGTGTGACACTGTTTAGCTAAATGCTCAGTGTAGGGAGAGATCAGTTACCTGCAGCACTGACCACACCCCAAGGGTATGTGGGAGAAATCAGGGATAAAAGAGGGTACAGGTGTAGGCTCACTCTCTTGGATCCCAGCTGAGGTTCGGAGACCATAGAGCACTGACCAAGTTCTCAGCTTCTCATGGAAGTTACTTCCCTCTATCTTAATAAATATCCAACTACCTTTTCCCGGCATCCTTAGTGTGACTCATTTCCCTTCACAGCTCAGAGCTATAGGTGAAGGAAACCATCTCCAAATACTTACTGCCCCAAGGGAAAGGGACTTAGGAGGGTCCTTCCCTTAGAATCTCCTCTGGTTTAGCTGGCCCTTGACGTCATTAGTATGGCCAGACAGAAATGGACTTGTGTGCCTCTCACAAATGGCCTGAGCTTTAAGGCTTCTCCAGGACAAGCATAAACAAAGATAACTTTGAAATTGAGGACATGTAGAGGATGTAATCCTGCCCAGAGTATGGAGGGCAAAGGGGGTGGCAAAGCCAGGACTCAGCCCAGACAGCTACTACTGGAGACCAGGGATGCAGCAACTAGGGACCACTTTAGTGGTCCAAAGAGTCAGGAGTTAGCAAGATTGTATCTTATAAGTGCCTTGGTCTTGCTGCTCAGAGACTATATATAGTGTTGCCACCTACACCTTTCCAGGG